AATGACCTTGAACTGTGACCTAGAAACCTTCTAGTAACATGATAAGGTGTGGAACTGGGTTAAACTTTAAACTATCTGGAGTGGGTAAAAAGTGACAGCTTGGATAAAGAAACCAGCTACTGACATAACTTGTTTTTCATTTTGACTTTAGTGGGGAGAGGTTCTGACTATGAATATGTAAGACTCTATTAAGATCAAATGTATGATAGGCTAAGTTTTCATCAAAATATCTTCTTTGGTTCAGATATTATATATGTACATGGATAGAGATCATTGATTTATAATTCCCCTGGTTGTGACCATAACTTCAAGACTTGGATCCTGGCTCTTGTATGTGACATACAACTAGTTAAAATTTAATTTAAAAATCTTCATTGGCACAAATGGTTTCCTCGTAGCAATTTACAAATCACATAATTACATTTTCCATTGACTTGCTGTTAACTAAACCTTGAGGCAAGGGGCCTGTCTGTAGTACTTGGTACATCATCTAGTCATGATATACACCTCGGATGTTTTAATGAAAATCTCTCCAGATGTTAAAATGTTATGGGTTAGTCAATTAAATACTAACAAAAGAATGGGCACATAATGCGTTAACACAGTACAGTATGCCCAATTTAGGATGGGTGTTATAAACACATCAATATTTATACCATACTTTAACATGACACCCAAGTTATATATCAGAAATATTCATACCTTGACTTGACTATGAGAAATGACACAATGTATGTTATGCAAAAATACTCTCTAGTCATTATCTGTGCTGTATTATCCAAAAGACAGACTGAGCACATTATTTGTGCACCAGAAAAGTAAGGACACCAAAAATTTAGACATTATCGTTTAGTAGTGTTCTTATTTTGACTTGCCAGTACATGAGGAGGGAGCAACATAATATTTTCGCTGCCCTATTCCTTATATGCCAGTTTCGCTGCCCTATTCCTTATATGCCAGTTTCACTGCCCTATTTATTATATGCCAGTATACATACATTCTTCCTAATAATTTTAAAGCTAAAGCTTGGATACATAATTTTAGTACCATGACCTTCATGACAGAACCATTCAAAGTAGCCTAAGAAACACTGTCAGATCATCATGAATAGGTACATTTTCAGTTTCATCTTTCTTAATATGCGTTTTATTTCATGACTTGGAATAAAAATATGTATATTGGCATGTGACCATAATCTTTAGAGAAAGATTATGAAAGTCACCAAAAAGCCAAGATGTAACATTTTTTAAATTTTTAAAATACTACTTTTAATGACTTTAAAGATTCAGCCAAGATATTGCAAATAAGTAACCATCAGATAACTTTGCAGGTAGGATCGTGATAGTGGTACAATACACACTATCTAAAATTGTCATTTATTTTCATTACTAAAGGAGCATCATAACTACAAACCAACCACGTTTCATCGAACTCTTACTATCCTTGAGAATTTGTGAGCTAGAGATCAGACACAAAAATTGATAATATTGATCTATGATTTTAACCTTGATGAAAATTCCATGACAAATAAATGGCACATTTAGAAGTTATGATGAAAACATAAGTTGCATAACACTACCTTCAACAGTCCTAATACAAAAAGTGATGAAGCTTTATATCTAACCTTGATCTTATTGATAGGACCGTGATGTTGGTACACATGGCAGGTGAAAGATACACCCTCCAACTATTTATACCAGGTGAAATGTTTTATTCTATTAGCAATTTAACATGTGACAGTTTGGACACAAAAAACATGATACTTATCTGAGACCTGGCCTTAGAGATAGGTATAAGTTCTAAGAGATAACATCAAGTCATGATGTATAACAATATCAAGTTTTATATTTATTACTTTTTTAAAAGTTTGTGAGTTATAGCTCTAAACAAAGATAGTATTGTCAACCTTTCACCATGAAGGTGTTACGTATATATTTGTCACCCATATCTTAAATAAATGTTAAAGTACACAAATTTTCAAGTCAATAATTCTATCAGTTTCGGAGTTACAAACAGCACATTAAAAGTAAATGCAAATATGATATGTGACCTTGACCTTCCAGAAAGTACAGCAACACACCCACTAGTTCCTGTTGTAAAGTTACAAAATCTAGTGCAATTAGGCTGATGTCAGTAAACACTTGCGATGAGAATAATATTGGAGGATTGTGTACACAATTACACAATATCTATGGACCACTCCACATTTTATTTAAGAAGCACGTATAGTTTTCACACTTAATGAATGATTGGATAAATATCGAAACTGATGTAATTCAAAGTGAGATGCAGAACAAAACACAAGATCAGGTTAATGATGTGGTATTACATATTATTAAAAATCCAATATATATGCCTCTAAATGTATGGCCTGATATTGGAGCAAATGGTCCAATACTGTAAATGTTTAATTTTCTTTTTCTATATAGTTAGTGTGTGTGTGTATATATATATATATATATATATATATATATATATATATATATATATATATATATATATATATATAGTGTGTGTGTGTGTGTGAATCCTAATATATAAATATTTTCCAAGTTATGAAGAAAGTCCCCAACTAAAGAGTACATGACCCAAGATACATGTAGGAGGTCAAAGTACATATGTTCCCTTGTGTACATTATATATATATATATATATATATATAGTTGTAGTATAGGGGCCATAACAATTTTCATGTTACATGTCAAGGGAATAATTCAAGGTATGTTTTGGAATTATGAATACTTCTATTTCTTCTTGCCCATAAAACAGTATATATATATATATATATATATATATATATATATATATATATATATATATATATATATATATATATATATATATATATATATATATATTGTTATAGGTAGGGGATCCAATTTATAACAATGAGCAAGACTCTTTCCGAGGGTCTGTACTACAAATAAATCTGATTTCATCTCATATCCTTCAAGCAATATATGGTTAGAATGTGGACTCTAAACTGTCGACAAGATATAACCTTGGGCCAAGTCTACAACATAATGGACATGACCCATGGTCAGTATTGAATATATATGGTTATTGAATGGGTACATCAATAGTGTCCAAATTGAGACCCAGGGGCAGTGGCATGCAGGCTACTGCAGCCATGGCCCCCAGCATTACCTATGTTGCTGAAGGGCAAAACTCTACATTGTTAAAATGTGTACGTTCTTGTATTGGCACCCAAATCTCACGTGACACTATGTGCTTTTCACCCGCCAGTGGCAAGGCCGGATGTGTTTATATATATATATATATATATATATATATATATATAAAGAATACAAATCATATGGCGAATAACAACCCTTTCAAGCGTACTGGATCCACCAAGGGATCACGTGTGTCAGGGATTAATTAAAATAGATGCAATAAACTGACGACAAACAGTACGAAACTAGTAACTAACTAGCCTAAGCGCTTTCGACTCTTAATGAGTCTTTTTCAAAGGCAAATACAAAACATATATACGATAAACCAATAAACACAAAAACGTTGTGTTTGTAAACCTCTACATGGCTGTCTTCACATGTGTTAAAACTATAAATACAGCCAGCTTGTATAGACTAGATGCGGAAACTGAAAACGTTGCATAATTCCCTAAAAGTCTACAAGCCAAAGCGACATCTATTTTTTACTTTTTATACATATGTAACGCAGATTATATCCCGGATATTTGATTCTATACCGGTTTTTCTTATAGTAAAAATTGAAGGATAATAAGAAGATTTAGAAAATGTTAAATTTTACTAGTGCATAGTTTTCATTTTCTACTCTTCTTGGTTTAGACCGCTTGGTTTCAATGTTCTAAGGCGGCGTATCCAATATGATTCCTTTTCCTTCCTGGTTTCGGAACTCCAGCTGTGGTTGTTAGCAATAGCGATAAGTATTATATCACTGAAAGTGTGGCCAGGGGAGGAGAAGTGTTCTGCGACCGGGCTTCTGTACAGCTTTTTTGTCATCCAATCAGATCTATGAAGGTTTATCCTTTTGTGTAGCTTTTCAGTTTCTCCGACGTACTGAAGGCCACAGATCTTACATGTGATGAGATAAATCACATTCTCTGTTTTGCACGTTTTGTTTGGACCATGTATTCTTAGTTTTTCTTTAGTCACTGTGCTAGTGAATGTCTTGGTCTCTATCATATGTTGACAGGTTTTGCATCTTTTATCGCCACAGGGTCCAGATTGACTAGGTTGGTTTTGACTAGCGATTGGCGTTAGCTTTACCCTGACTATGATGTCCTTTAGGTTTTTTGGTCTTCGGTAAGCTACTACAGGTTTGTTCGGAAGTATTAGGTTTAGTATGTCTGACGATTGCACGGTTGGCCAGTGGTTTGCGATGATTTTACCTACTTTGGGATTGTCTGGGTGATAGGTCAGAATAAATGGTATCCTAGCAACCTTTTCTTTCTGTCCATATCTGAGTAGGTCATCACGGTTTGTTTGTTTGGCCCTTTGGATTGCCTCCGCAATCAGGTCTTTGTCGTAGCCTCTGTAAATTAAATGTTTAGCCAGCTCTTCAGACCTTTCTAGGAATCTTTCATCGTCGGAGCAAATTCTGCGTATCCTCAGTGCCTGGCTATATAGAATGTTCTTAATGCAGTGTTTTGGATGACAGCTGGTTGGGAGGAGATACTGGTGTTTGTCGGTTGGTTTCGAGTAGATGTCTGTGTGCAATTTGTTTTCCACCAGTCTGGTTGTTGTGTCCAGGAAAACATGGTTTGAGTTGGAAATTTCTGCTGTGAATTTTATTGAAGGATGGAAGTTGTTTGCCTTTGATATGAAGTCATCCAGACTTTCTCTTCCATACTGCCACTTCATTTCTATATCATCGATAAAGCGTACCCACTGGTATGGTGTACGCTCAACCGACACTAAGAGCTGACCCTCAAGTTTATTATATTATACATCACTGGTATTACTGTAAGAGTAATGCTTTTTATTAATAACCATCATACTCATATTATCCTAACCGCTCCGGTGGACTAGTGGTTAGAGCGTCCGCCTCGGATGCGGGAGGTCGTGGGTTCGAACCCCCGGTCGAGTCGTACCAAAGACTTACAAATATGGTACTAACAGCTGCCTCGCGTGACGATCATCATTAAGAGGTTAGTGTTATGGCTGGTCGACCTGGTGTCAGGATAATGTGACTGGATGGAACATCATGCTACATGTCTGCAGCATGATGCCCCAGTGCTAGACATCACTATAAACTGCCACACTGCAGACATTGTAGCGATATGACTGAAAAATTGTTAAAACTACGTACCAAGGACTTGCAAAGACAGTGCGGATTTAAGTATAATAATATAATTGTTTATGACTGACACAGACCATCCTACGAGGAATAAAACTACATCTAGCAATCGTCGTTCGTTTTCGGGAAAGAGAGATATGATAAAAAAAAATTGCTCTGAGAGGTTAACTCCATTCCTTTCTTAGGATGAAATTGAATGCACTAATATTATTAAGTCCTACAATAATAATCCGAAAATGTCCATATACCAACATGGTCAGGTTTCCACAATATTTAGTGCGATAACAAAGACAGTTAGTTGGTAAAACAAAAACGAAATATCAATTGTAACTAAGTTTGCTGCTTATAGTATTCGGTGCATACAAATATGATACTAAGTAGATAATGTTTGCAAAAAAAACACTGTCAAAACAACTAATAAATTAAAGTATTTCTAAACATAATGAGTTTTAAATTTCTACCCACCCGGCCAGCAATAAAAACCAAACTGTTTATCTTATCACCAGATTAAGAAATATCGAAATAATACAAATCGAGCAAATCCTAAATGATACTTAAATCCGCACTGTCTGTACAAATCGAACAAAAAAGTTTTTAATCATGACAAAATATACAACGGCATAAAACAGGATGAGTTGTGTGGCTACACCACACATTTAAAAAGTAAAGGAGGAACAAGCATATACGGTGAAATAATGCACCTAAATAATTATAATGGCAGATGACATCTTGTAGTCACATTTGGGTGATGTGATGTGGTGTTTGTGATTGTTATCGTTGAGAACATACGGTTTTCTTATTACTGGAATTTGAAAACTGAACATACTATCACATGCTTGCTTTGTTCCAGAAGTTCTTTTTCATCAACTTTTTTCTGAAGACATATTTAAAAACTTTTTAAAAAAGTGAAATAAAATTCATACATGATCTTACTTGAAATTAAACTATATCCATTGTTTGTATGGTTGTTATTTCAAAGTAAACGCAACATAAGTGACATTTTTAAACAAATTTTTAACTGAGTTTAATTTAAGCTATTTGCAAATTGTCATGTTGCTTAGTGTAAACTGTGAACGAATGATCCATTAGTCTCAAAAAGGTCAATTGAGAAGATATTGTTTAGTTTTTACCCAATATATCTTTGTTATACTTTGCCATATATAAGCAGCACTCTGTTTAAGAACAATCTTACGGGACTATCTCATTTTTCTTTATAAGTGCTATATTTTTATTTTAAACCCAATATAGAATTAAATTTGCGCTAAACAGGAAACATGACAAGAGAGAAGGCATGTCAGATGCTAATAGTTGAAAGGTCGCAAAAGTCTTTTAGTAGAGCGAGTTAGGAGGAAGGACGGAGAGACATTTTTTTAGTGTAACCATTATATACATGTGTGCATATATTTGTATCTATCTCTGTGTGTATGTGTAAATACATATACACATGTGTATATTGCCATTTGTCTCCACATTGACTTTTTATGAAAAAATACAACTAAACATTACAAAATTATTTAGACCTGAATTAAATTATGTAGACAAGAGTATATACAAGTTTCTAATCAAGTTTCTGATCGGAACTTCATGTTTTCCCCTACCCACCCCGTCATGATTTTGCGCTTCAAATGTATAACGAGGTTTGGCTTTCCTAATAGTATCAGACACACATCTTTCTCGCTTGGGAAATATTCCTATCTCCCGATGCAAACTACAACAGCCTCCTTCATCTCTAGCCTGTACAAAATTGATAATTTGATTTTTTACGCGGAATGTCTGACGTGCCTATTCAGGGATTTGAGGTACATTAAAGGTAGAATAGTGAAACAAAATCAAACTATTGTCTATCAATTTTTTCTTGCGTCTTGGTAAAGGTGTAAAATAATTAAATACAAATATTAAACAAGATTCCAATAAATTTCACAAAAAGAGATCTTTCTGTGTGTTTTTGTTTGACTTTGTTTTTGTTGTCGATGTTGTTGTTGCAATACTCTCTCATTCCCAATGTTATTGGGCCTCTTCCTGGTATACCAGCTATAAATACACAGTAGTTATTTGCACAATTAAAGAAGCCAGTCGCCGACGTAAAGAGATAGAGGTATGTGTATTCATATTTTTATTCCCAAAAAGTCTAAGTTTTATGTATGTGACATTATTTCATATTATGCTTATATTCACCAATCTTGAATACTAAAACAATGTATTCACATGATAACATATATGTTTTAGAACTAAAAGATGTCATTTCGATATTGGTTACCAGGTATATTTGTATTTAGGGTTATATAGTTGTAGAATAATAACAAAATATTTCAACTCAAAATAGATTATACGCACCGGCCGATATTAATGGTGGAGGTAGAATCCGGGAAAACCCCGAATAGAAACACCGACCCATGAGATGCTGCTGTCAAGCCTTCTCAGATACTCGCATTGGCCAAACCTGAGACTGCCACGTGGCTTGTGGTGATTGGGCTTTTTTCCAATGACATTGTGTCCTGATGACATCTGTATTGTCGCTTAAAAGTTTATGAAGTAAACGATTGTTTGAAATTCTTAATTGATTTAAATATATAATAGTCTTGTTTTCTAGTCAAGTTTTATTGTGCATACAATTTATAGCCTAAAAGTGATAATCTTTATCCAAAGCTCAAAAAAGGTTGCAAAACACAAGATTTGTAATTCAGTGATAAATTGACTTTCATTCAAGACGCTAAAACTGAACGAGCATTTTATTTATATAAAATACTCAGATAACTACACATACGTTGACTTTTTAAACTAAGTATCCATGTAAAATACAATTGTAAATTGATACATTTTAGTACTAGTACAAATGTGTAAATAAAGCACGGCTGGAGACGATTTTTTTAAATTCGCCTAACGTTATAAGGCAAATATCTTCCTAGAAAATCAATTATATGTTGTTTGTTCTTCTTACCTTTCTCAGACTGATGTAGCAGTGAGATCCATTAGTAAATAGACTAAGTCGCATTTACCAATGTTGGAACTTTTAAAACAACATAATTCGTCTTTGAGAGTTATAGGCATTTTTGTATTTTTTCAGATCTGTGTTTCTAATTTGTTCATTAGAGCAACACCATTAAAATATATACCAAAATGAGCTTCCAGTATATCCAAATTCGTAAGTATGGCGAATTTTATCAAGTATGTTTAGCTATATTTTGGTGATAAAATTGAGCATTGTGTGGTGTTCCATAACATAGTTTATATTCATTGAAGTAGATAATAAACAAAACGATTCAAAATTTAAAACGGTTCAAGAAACAAAGAGGAAATGATCAAATGTGGCCACCAATTTTCAGATGATTGAATTGACAAGTTAAGAAACGAATTGTTTGCATGACTACTTGAAAATTATATTTCGTAAGTGCCATATAATGTCCACGCTTTCTTCTTGTATGTAAATAAATCTGCAAGGAATCAAAGTTAACAGCTTCTCTTAAATAACTAGGCATGGCCTCTGTACATATGGAGTTCAAACGATTTGTTCATATCTTCTTCAAAACAGATACAAGCACTATTATGAAGTTAAAATAAGGCTGGATTTAACCTGGATTTATAATGTTTCTATGTTTCCAGTAACAGTTCGTTAGAATACTATGTCCAAGCTCATGATCAAAATCGTGTTTGTGAGAAAATGGACTACTAAAGACTTATATCCACTCTTGATGTTTTACGTAACATTTTGCTGTTTGATACAAATATTCGCAACGATTCTATCTCTTATTTTGTTTTTTATATAACTATCAGAAATATTTGATTACGATTTTTCATGTCTTTTACGCTTTACCGTTATTATCTGTTCATAGAAATTATGTGTAATCTCTTTAAGCTTTCATATGTAGAAGCTATATCCTATTTCAATCACTCAACAATTAAAAATGAAACATAAAAAATAAAAAGTTAGACGTGATATCAAATGTTATGAACATTTATTAAAGACTAAATTTATATCTCTACCAAATAACACCCAACAGAAACAATGCCCGACATACGTAAAAAATTATTTTACACGATATTATTATGTTAATGTAGTAGTTGATCAATAGCATATCATACCAATCATTCCATTGTACAACATTCAGTTATACCATACCTTGATAATGTTCTGAGCCAACGGTAATTCATGTTCAAAACTACTTTATTTAGGGAGTCAAATTTGACAAAATTTGATTTTCGAAATTCATTTTCAATGCAGTCAGTTGTCAAAATTTCTCCAAAATATGCGTCTTACATTTATGCAAGATGATCGCAGAACACGCTAAGTATCAACAAATAGAAACAAATAAATCCCAAATAAAGTATTTTACTTTGCTTTTGGCTAGGAAGGTACCTTTGATTAATGTCTGATTTATCTGGATTCGGATTTTCACATGCTGTAACGTTCAGTACATAAAAGAGGACGTAGTTGTCCAAAGAAATACATTTGTCTACGGAATCTAGCTACTGAATGTTCTCTCCAATCTTTCAACAGCACACAAGAAAGACATCAGATGGATACAACTCAACAAACGTTATAAAACTATGTTATTACGATCCACTTTTTACGACTGAGTTAGTTTTGAACATTTAGCTATACGCTCTGTATCTTGAACCGTGATCTATGTAATTGCATCATAATTACAATGACTCAAAACCAACGCTATGCATCACAGGAAGTGCAAATAAAAATACGTCACTGCAATTAATGTCCACGCTCGCGTAATTACTCCATTCTCCGCTATTCCATATGTATTATACCCTCGATATAATGGAACTTATTTTATGTG